GTTGTTAAGACTGTTAAGAAAGAAATTGAGACTGCGAACCCACGCACTGAAGGACTCGGATACATTGGTGCTGCAGTCTGGTGCATGCTTCTTCTGAGAGGCATACTGTTGGAAGTGGCAGATATCGTCATGAATCAGCAAGTCGGCCTCGACATGGTCCATGTTCGTGATGACCGCCTTGAGGAGACGCACCTTGTCGTTGTTGTTCTCGTTTTGGACATGCTCCACGGCATCAAGGATTAATCAAGGACTCTCCGACTCGAGGGATCCGCTGCAAAATGCCAGCCGGCAGTTCGCTGACGGAGAACGACACGGATAGAATCCTTCGACCGGCAAGTGCAACTGCTGCGGCCATGCTCTCGAAGGGTCTTCTTGCGTGGATGCCCGATAAGTCGCACCGTCCTTGGGGGATCGGATGTGCATATGCCACGGTGGAGGCCATCAAAACTGATGGCACCCACCGCCTCCCATGGCGGAAAGAGGAGGACTTGATCCATCTTGGTCATGTGCGCCGCGGAGTAGCCGATGTTGAAGCTGATCCCCTGCTTTGGGGTCCTTTGGGCAACAGCAAAGCCTTCCATCGCACGCAGAAGCAGCTCTCGTAGACGGTGTGTTGTGGGAAAGTCTATCGTCACCGTTATGGTAGAGCGGGAGCATCTGTAGCACAGCTGCTCCCCTCAATAAGCCGAGATACGTAAGCTCCAGGACGGGAATGGAGAATAACGAAAAAGGCACCCGTGCTCCTCATGTCCTCCAAAGACATGGTGTTGATCAACGCTTTTCCGAGTGTGACCGAGTTGTGCCGAATGGTGTTCCGGCACATGTTGCATTGCTTGGACACGGTCGCTATGTCGGTACTCGATTCACTCCCAATCAGAATCGCACTGGCAAGCTTTTCCCTCCTGATGAAGAGCTTCTTCTCGCAAACAGGACACACGTCACGAGGGAAGATGACGGAATCTTTGCTCATGCCGTCCTTGTGGATCTTCTTGTGGAAGGAGGCCGCCATTCGTGTCCACCGGGCCGTCCTTCTTGTTGTCGGCTTCGAATCCATGCTTTCGTGCTTCTTGATGGTGGGGCTGTTCTCGCGGCTCATGTTCTTGTTCATGTTCGTCTCCGTCTCGGTGTTTCGGTTGTTACGCTCGCACTCCTTGTTGGTCTCTTTGCTGTGGTGGTTCTCATCTTCGGGCTTGCCATCCGCGATGGGTGCGGGGCCCTTGTCCTCGACTGCTTTGGCATTAGCGATTGTACACTGCCTTTTGCTTTTTCAGCAAAGTGCGGGAAGTCTGAGTTCAGCTTCCTCATTCCAAGTGTCACTCTTCTTCAAATCTACCGCGTTCCGCGTATTGTCGATCAGGATTCGCACATCTTGCCTGGACACAGGTCGGCGTGATTGATGGAACGGCACCCAACCCGCGTTGATGGCGTTGATCAGCTCCTCGAGGTTCCGGGGTGACGAAACATCTTTGTGTTGGTATTCATCTGATGGTGCCGCGGCCGCTGCCGGCTCGAGCGATAGCAGAACCCGCTGGCCACCAACAATAGCTTTCCCGGATACCTGAAAGGGCAGCATGTCTGCCAGTGAAACCGGTGAGGCGTTGCCGTGCTACAGTGCTTGGCTTGCCCTTGGCCGAAATCTGCACATGCTTTTCCTTTGATGCCGGCTTGTCACCTTGGAGGCTGTAGGCTATAGGCTGCTGCAGTATCGCACTTCAGAATATTGGAGGTTGCAGCCGGAGACTGCTATACCAACACCCTCCAAGTTGCGCCAGATTGCAGTCGAGCGACCTGGAGCGAGCATTTATCATCTAATTACACGAAAACGAAAGCCAAAATCATTCTGCACTACCAAACCCTCTGGAGTCTTAGTTCTCCAACCGCTAGCCGCCAGCCGGGAACGAAGCATTCTGAAACCCCAAACCCGAAACTACACACCTTTGCATTCCATTTTCAGCCCTCAAGCCTCCTTTTTTGTTTGCAGCAGTTGAACGCACGACAAACAGCGAGCGTCTCTTTT